AAGGAGGAGGCAATGATGCCAGTATGCTATTTTCCGAGCATAAACATGGAACAAAGTGCTAACAACTTATACATCATTTTACTATTTATAATAGCACTTTTATATACTTTTATTTCATTTCATCCTTAAATCCCTGACAATTGGCCAGGTGAAGTGGCTCACACCTGTAATCCTAGCACTTTGGGAGGCCGAGGTGGGCACACTGCCCGAGCTCAGGAGTTCGAGACCAGCCTGGGCAACACGGTGAAACCCATTCTCTACTAAAATAAAAAAAAAAAAAAAAAAATCAGCTGGACAAGGTGGTGTGAGCCTGTAGTCCCAGCTACTAGAGAGGCCGAGGCAGGAGAACTGCTTAAATCCAGGAGGTGGAAGTTGCAGTGAGCCAAGATCGCGCTCCAGTCTAGGTGACAGAGCAAGACTCTGTCTCAAAACAAAACAAAACAAAACAACAACAACAACAAAAAAAAAAACAAGAAAAATCCCTGACCATTGTGTTCTATATACATTTTTCATGTGAGGAAATAAAGGCTCAGAGAGGTTAACATTACTGTCACAGAGCTAACAGTGGGCTTTAAACTCAGATCTAAATGATGCTAAATAAGACACTTCAGGCAGAAAGGTATGATTACAATTTAAAATGACCTTAGTTCCTACAGCTTCCGTGGGTGGAGGGAAAAATAAACAAAGTAAATAAAATAACCTTAGAAAAGTATTTTTCATAGTTTCTAATCAAGTACTTCAATCAGTGATTCACTATAACAGACTTTTATTCCGAGCTAAATACTAAACGATAATTTCAAGTTGTCACCAAAATTACTAATAGATCACTCATTTCAACTACAAAGACAAAAATAAGCACCATATAATCAAATACCTTACATTTAAACAGAATAACATAATTAAACTATTAACAGGGTGAAGAAAGATTTTTCTTTTTTTTTTCCTTTTTTTTTTTTTTTTTTTTGAGACGGAGTCAGTCTTGCTCTGTCGCCTAGGCTGGAGTGCAGTGGCATGATTTGGCTCACTGCAATCTCCACCTCCCAAGTTCAAGTGATTCTCCTGCCTCAGCCTCCCGAGTAGCTGGGATTACAGGTGCATGCCACCACGTCCAGCTAATTTTTCGTATTTTTAGTAGAGACAGGGTTTCACCATGTTAGCTAGGATGGTCTGGATCTCCTGACCTCGTGATTCGCCCGCCTCGGCCTCCCAAAGTGCTGGGATGACAGGTGTGAGCCACTGCACCCGGCCAGAAAGATGCTTTTATTGGCAACGATAATTTACAATCTTCAGAAATCTACTGTGACATAAGGTTACATATTTAAATTAAAATCATTCCTCTTTATGTTCAAGTTTCTACTATTTCAAATACTCAGCTCACTGTATTCCCAATTACCTGACAATTTCTCAATCCTTTCAGAGAGCATCTTTTTAAATTGATTGTTCACATTCCATCTTCAAGTTATAGATTGCTACATTCTTTTTTTTTTTTTTTTTTTGAGATGGAGTCTCACTCTGTCGTACAGTCTGGAGTGCAATGACACAGTCTCAGCTCACTGCAACCTTGCCTCAGCCTCCTGAGTAGCTGGGATTACAGGCACCTGCCACCACGCCCGACTAACTTTTGTATTTCTTCATAGAGATGGGGTTTCACCATGTTGGCCAGGCTGGTTTTGAACTCCTGACCTTGTGATCCGCCCACCTCAGCCTCCCAAAGTGCTGGGATCACAGATGTGAGCCATGAACCACCACGCCTGGCTGGCTGATTGCTACATTCTTTAGCAAACTAGGTCTCAGTTTCAAAGATCTCAAAGTAAACGAGAGTAAGATATATTAAGAGAAATGCAACATTGACTTGAACTCTGATGAAGACTCTATTAAAAAGGAGGAAATATTTTAATAGTTCTTTCTCCATTAACAAAACAAGGTAACATCTGTACCTTCCTGACCCACCTTACTTTTGGTTCAGAATCAACAAAAAATAAAGGATCCAAACAGATGACGATAAAAATATAACTGAATCCAATGTGCAAAAACCCTTATTACTTCAACTGCAAATTAAACTTACCCAGTTAGAACTGTAGGCATTCCATTATCTTCTCCCTCATAGTATTAGTAGTCCAGCCTGCTCAGATAAGCCTAACATACAAATGAATAGACAATGTATAGCCTAAGAATTGAGAGTCCCAAAAATTGAATCATAAGGCATTGAACAAAAGTATACTCAATCCCTTCCCCTAGTCTCCCCAATCCTCCTTTGGGACGGCCACTCAGGGGATGGGAAGAAGCTGAAAGCTATTTCCAAAAAAGAACTTCCTACTTTATGAGTCATGGTAGAAACATCTAGAGACAAAAATAATGGTTCCCCCTTCAACAAGCACAATCTTCTCAAATATAAAACAAATTCCTCAGAAGTAGTGCTCTTCAACAGGAGCATCTCACAAACACAATATATATCTCCTCTTCTTTCATTTCCTATTTCAGAGAGAGGCAAAGATTGAATGAACAGATATTAGCCTAGCTTGGCCTGAGATGACTGAGCTAAAATGAAGAAAATCAAGTCTGCAAATTCCCAAAGCAGTCCTGATTAAAAAGCAGTATTCTATGTAGTCTCTGCACAAGTTATGATAAATTTAGCTACAAAAGGCAGACCTCTTCGTAAAACTGCACAATACACAAATGGGTACTTAATCATTTCACCCACCTTTTCAAAATTCTCTCCCTTACCTAACTTCCTCTCTCACCCTTATCCCCAGTGAAGACTCTCAACTTGCCCTCTATATGCCTAAAAACCACCTCTTACTTAGGTTTGACCTCTAGCACTCCCATTCCCCATAACTCAACTAGGTATGAATCAGATTGTGTGATTAAATTACTTTACATTAATGGGTAAATGAGGCTTAATCCACAAAGGTCAATTCCATACATGTCATTATACTCTACTATGTATAAGGCACTAAGTTTAATCAATTAATGTACCTATCCTTCTTACAAGAAAAACTAACACAAATCAATCCTTTAAACAATGTAAGGAAGGGGCACAAGAATGTTTGCTTCACATCACAATTTCTCCACCCATTTCTTTCCACCCTGTTGCCAAACCCCTCCAATCTCCATCTGGCATGGAATAAAATCCAAGGGATCAGTACTTCTTCCAGTAAAAGTCAATGCCTAGGAAGACAATGTGGGATAGCACAGCAAACAATAAACATTCAAATCCTGAAATGGACTATAGATAGTGTTTTGTATTTAATTTTATATATTAGCTGCAAGTACAAAAAAGAGCTTCTAAATAATCCAATTTCTGTATAAGATACCTATAAATCAGCTATGCTCAGAACTCTGAGTTCTTAAACCATAAATACTGAGATGTTTTTTCTTCAGTTATTTCCACAGTTAGAATGTTTATAGTAAATACCAGTTCAATTTGCCCTACCATACTTAAAGGCTATTAAATTTAACTACTGTTTTCAATTAGACGTGACATTTTTCCCAAGACCCCTTAAGTTTGAAACTCCAAACTTGCTTTAAACCTCCTTTTTTTCCAGTCATAAAATTTATTAATTTTAATCTACAACAGAGCTTCTAAACTGGAGAGGAGAATGCAACCACAGACAGGTTTGAATTTGATTCAGCCACATGATATTTTTAATGGTTTTAATTAGTTGCCAATATTTTTAAGACGCAAGACACTGAATGTAAAAATCTAGATTTCTGGTTTCTCTTGAGAATGCTGAAGATGGGGTCCATATTCATATATGGCACTGATTAGGGGGACCTCAGACTTGGATGTCTCTCTGATAAGGCATAGTGCATTTTCCTCATTTTCATTATCTAACTAGTACCCAAAGGCATGTGAGTTTGTTGCTCATGCTATGGCTTTGAAAGGTGCATAATATATCCCATATGACTTCCATACTTCCCTAAGTCACCTACTATAAAAAGCCAAAAGCAGACCACAGTGGTTTGCAACTCCATAGTTAATAATTTTAAAAATTCACACAGCTTAGAAGGAGTGAGAAAGATTCAGACTGGTGGAAGGGTAACATAATTACATAGGGTTAAAAGTCCATCTGAAAGCTTTTTTGGGAGTGAGAAAAAAGATGAAAGAACACAAAAACATTGTTGAAACACTAAAAGCTTTTCTGTCTGAACACTGTTACTCTCTGGTGGTTCCTTACCACATTCCACGCTTTAGAACCTTCCTTCCTACTTTGTATGTATTAATATAATAGCAGTTAGGTCATACATGCTGAGAAATGTTGGAAAAATTTATAAAACACATTTATATCATCAGAAATAATTCTTCTTACATTTTTTTTTTTTATTTTTAACCAGTCTTAGTTCATTTTCAAATCCCTTCCCAAGTATTTTCTACTGCTTTCTGCTTTATATTCAAATGACAACTTCAGACCTGGGTTTCAGGCCTGAACTTCAATCCTGGACAGGCTCTCTAACACAGAAACTCTTTTGGCCCTTATGGCTGCATTCTTTATTATATCTCTTATTCCGATTTCTACAGTCTCTTTCATTGAAAATTTATCCCTAACCCCCTCTCTAAAACATTTTGATCAAATTTGTGTACTTCGGGGGTTGGGAGGATAGGGGCGGGAAGGAACTCAGTTGTACAAATACAACTAATATCCTGTGCTGTTTCATTTAGATTGCTAATTTAAATAAAAAGCATGAAAACTCTGAAAGATAATAAATCTTCGTAAAATAATCTCGTTTGCTAAGTGCACAAAGCCACAAGCAAGTAAAGCTCTATCTTTCAGCATGTCTGGACTACTGACTTTTCACCACAGACTCAATACTGACGAGAAAGCAGAAGCTGAAATCTGTGAGGCCCAGGAACAGTCACACTGGCCCACACTAACAAATTACTAACCGATGTCTCACCTTCCCCCGCCCCATTCCCAAAGATAAGGGTGTCAGGGCACCTGCATCTGAAGAAGAAAGACCAGAACCTCTTCCGTGCAAGTTTTAAGAAAACAAAGCTTTACCACACGTAAAACGGTTACAGCATAAAACCACGCAGCACATTAGTGGGGTATCACTCCTCTTCACCCAGAGGGAGGCTGCCCACCACCTTATTCCCTATTGTGATGCGCCCTCCTCAGGATGTCACTGCGTTCGTCTAAGATGACAGGAAAGGGGCGGGGCACGGGGTTCTTCTGCCCTGGAAAGGGATGAGGGTATCGCCTTCATCCCCGGGGAAAGGCCTCTGGACTCCCAACCCAAAAGCAGCAGCCGCAAAACTCAAGTCTTATCCCGGCCTCTCCTAATTGGGTGCTCGTGGCCGGAGCCCAAAACGCCACCCACAGTCCCCGAGCAGGGTCCGGTCGCCCAGACCACTGCCACAGCAGCCTGGCTCTCACGCCCAGATTGGCCCCTCCGCCCTTTTCCTTTTTCGCCCCAGCCAAGCCCAGCCTCCCGCGCCGCCCCCGTCGAGTTCCCCAGCTGAGTCCACTCACTGTCGAACCCGTAGTCCCCCTTCAGTGCCCACAGAAGATTGGGGCAAAGGCCGAGGCCAGTGACACCGCCACTTCCCCCTCAGCCAGATCCCTCCAGAGGTGGCTGTGGAGGCTGCCACTGAGGCGGCTGCGCGTAACAGAGCCGCCCTGGCAGGTTGCAGGCCGGTTCCTCAGCCTCTTCTCGCGAGAGCGCGCCATCCGAAGAGGCGAGGCCAGCCGCGTTCTCGCGAGAACGGTGCTCTCCGCCCAGGAGTGGGCGGGGTACCGAGGGACAAGGCAGTTGAGGGAGTGGCGGCCTCCGGTGGGATCTCAGCCTGTAGGCTGGCGGCGCGGAGAGGAAGGCGCAGCGCGACCTCTCCTCACAGACATCAGCGTGGGTCAACCGCGAGCCTGGATCCCGAGTGGCTGAGGGCTGTTACCTTCAAACCTTTGAATCCCACGTTTTCCCATTGACTTCCTGTCACCGTTAGAGAAAAGCGGACAGTGTCTCGGTCACAGAGTGGGAGAAATATCTCAGGGACTCTTCAGGGAAAGCGTTTTCCTCATCAAAGCAAACTCCAAAATCGCTTCTGCCGGCGTGGACCAGCTGGAACCGATGAGAGTCGGTAGTCGTGAGGGACACCCTCTGTTCCGTAGCGTACCCCGCTGCTTATTTTTAAACGCTGGGGTTGGCGGGAACCCGTATGCCAGCTGAAACTCCTTCAGTTTGGCTGCCTAGGAAACATCGAGAGTCACCTGCATGGGCTGGCTGGACAATAAAAACGGGAAAAATTGTAAAAGACACAGTCTCCGCCCTCGAAGCTTACACCCTCGGGGCGAGACCTACAGGAAAGTAGATAATCCCATTATTCTCTGATAAAAGCCGAGCTGCCTGCTTGCCTGAGCTCTGGGAGCACATAGGGAGTAACCGGCTGTTCCCCGCGGCCTTGTTGAGAAAGCCTTCACCTGGGAGTCCAAGCCCAGCCTCCCGCGCCGCCCCCGTCGAGTTCCCCAGCTGAGTCCACTCACTGTCGAACCCGTAGTCCCCCTTCAGTGCCCACAGAAGATTGGGGCAAAGGCCGAGGCCAGTGACACCGCCACTTCCCCCTCAGCCAGATCCCTCCAGAGGTGGCTGTGGAGGCTGCCACTGAGGCGGCTGCGCGTAACAGAGCCGCCCTGGCAGGTTGCAGGCCGGTTCCTCAGCCTCTTCTCGCGAGAGCGCGCCATCCGAAGAGGCGAGGCCAGCCGCGTTCTCGCGAGAACGGTGCTCTCCGCCCAGGAGTGGGCGGGGTACCGAGGGACAAGGCAGTTGAGGGAGTGGCGGCCTCCGGTGGGATCTCAGCCTGTAGGCTGGCGGCGCGGAGAGGAAGGCGCAGCGCGACCTCTCCTCACAGACATCAGCGTGGGTCAACCGCGAGCCTGGATCCCGAGTGGCTGAGGGCTGTTACCTTCAAACCTTTGAATCCCACGTTTTCCCATTGACTTCCTGTCACCGTTAGAGAAAAGCGGACAGTGTCTCGGTCACAGAGTGGGAGAAATATCTCAGGGACTCTTCAGGGAAAGCGTTTTCCTCATCAAAGCAAACTCCAAAATCGCTTCTGCCGGCGTGGACCAGCTGGAACCGATGAGAGTCGGTAGTCGTGAGGGACACCACACAGCTTAGAAGGAGTGAGAAAGATTCAGACTGGTGGAAGGGTAACATAATTACATAGGGTTAAAAGTCCATCTGAAAGCTTTTTTGGGAGTGAGAAAAAAGATGAAAGAACACAAAAACATTGTTGAAACACTAAAAGCTTTTCTGTCTGAACACTGTTACTCTCTGGTGGTTCCTTACCACATTCCACGCTTTAGAACCTTCCTTCCTACTTTGTATGTATTAATATAATAGCAGTTAGGTCATACACGCTGAGAAATGTTGGAAAAATTTATAAAACACATTTATATCATCAGAAATAATTCTTCTTACTTTTTTTTTTTTATTTTTAACCAGTCTTAGTTCATTTTCAAATCCCTTCCCAAGTATTTTCTACTGCTTTCTGCTTTATATTCAAATGACAACTTCAGACCTGGGTTTCAGGCCTGAACTTCAATCCTGGACAGGCTCTCTAACACAGAAACTCTTTTGGCCCTTATGGCTGCATTCTTTATTATATCTCTTATTCCGATTTCTACAGTCTCTTTCATTGAAAATTTATCCCTAACCCCCTCTCTAAAACATTTTGATCAAATTTGTGTACTTCGGGGGTTGGGAGGATAGGGGCGGGAAGGAACTCAGTTGTACAAATACAACTAATATCCTGTGCTGTTTCATTTAGATTGCTAATTTAAATAAAAAGCATGAAAACTCTGAAAGATAATAAATCTTCGTAAAATAATCTCGTTTGCTAAGTGCACAAAGCCACAAGCAAGTAAAGCTCTATCTTTCAGCATGTCTGGACTACTGACTTTTCACCACAGACTCAATACTGACGAGAAAGCAGAAGCTGAAATCTGTGAGGCCCAGGAACAGTCACACTGGCCCACACTAACAAATTACTAACCGATGTCTCACCTTCCCCCGCCCCATTCCCAAAGATAAGGGTGTCAGGGCACCTGCATCTGAAGAAGAAAGACCAGAACCTCTTCCGTGCAAGTTTTAAGAAAACAAAGCTTTACCACACGTAAAACGGTTACAGCATAAAACCACGCAGCACATTAGTGGGGTATCACTCCTCTTCACCCAGAGGGAGGCTGCCCACCACCTTATTCCCTATTGTGATGCGCCCTCCTCAGGATGTCACTGCGTTCGTCTAAGATGACAGGAAAGGGGCGGGGCACGGGGTTCTTCTGCCCTGGAAAGGGATGAGGGTATCGCCTTCATCCCCGGGGAAAGGCCTCTGGACTCCCAACCCAAAAGCAGCAGCCGCAAAACTCAAGTCTTATCCCGGCCTCTCCTAATTGGGTGCTCGTGGCCGGAGCCCAAAACGCCACCCACAGTCCCCGAGCAGGGTCCGGTCGCCCAGACCACTGCCACAGCAGCCTGGCTCTCACGCCCAGATTGGCCCCTCCGCCCTTTTCCTTTTTCGCCCCAGCCAAGCCCAGCCTCCCGCGCCGCCCCCGTCGAGTTCCCCAGCTGAGTCCACTCACTGTCGAACCCGTAGTCCCCCTTCAGTGCCCACAGAAGATTGGGGCAAAGGCCGAGGCCAGTGACACCGCCACTTCCCCCTCAGCCAGATCCCTCCAGAGGTGGCTGTGGAGGCTGCCACTGAGGCGGCTGCGCGTAACAGAGCCGCCCTGGCAGGTTGCAGGCCGGTTCCTCAGCCTCTTCTCGCGAGAGCGCGCCATCCGAAGAGGCGAGGCCAGCCGCGTTCTCGCGAGAACGGTGCTCTCCGCCCAGGAGTGGGCGGGGTACCGAGGGACAAGGCAGTTGAGGGAGTGGCGGCCTCCGGTGGGATCTCAGCCTGTAGGCTGGCGGCGCGGAGAGGAAGGCGCAGCGCGACCTCTCCTCACAGACATCAGCGTGGGTCAACCGCGAGCCTGGATCCCGAGTGGCTGAGGGCTGTTACCTTCAAACCTTTGAATCCCACGTTTTCCCATTGACTTCCTGTCACCGTTAGAGAAAAGCGGACAGTGTCTCGGTCACAGAGTGGGAGAAATATCTCAGGGACTCTTCAGGGAAAGCGTTTTCCTCATCAAAGCAAACTCCAAAATCGCTTCTGCCGGCGTGGACCAGCTGGAACCGATGAGAGTCGGTAGTCGTGAGGGACACCCTCTGTTCCGTAGCGTACCCCGCTGCTTATTTTTAAACGCTGGGGTTGGCGGGAACCCGTATGCCAGCTGAAACTCCTTCAGTTTGGCTGCCTAGGAAACATCGAGAGTCACCTGCATGGGCTGGCTGGACAATAAAAACGGGAAAAATTGTAAAAGACACAGTCTCCGCCCTCGAAGCTTACACCCTCGGGGCGAGACCTACAGGAAAGTAGATAATCCCATTATTCTCTGATAAAAGCCGAGCTGCCTGCTTGCCTGAGCTCTGGGAGCACATAGGGAGTAACCGGCTGTTCCCCGCGGCCTTGTTGAGAAAGCCTTCACCTGGGAGTGACACTTGCGCTGAATCTTGAGCATAAGTAAGTTCTCCAGTTTAGGGAAGAGAGGGAAGGGCATTGCAAGGAGAGGAAGGAAAGAGGAAGAGGATCTGCTTTGAGTAATTGGGTATGAAAACAGATATTGGAGCAAGAACTTTGTTGAAAAACCTTTAACCACTGTTTAGTTTGGATGAGAACATTCCCAGGCTCCTACCGTGTGATACGCAAAGTATTTTCCAAATCAGTGTTTATGCTAAGGAGATGAGCAGTTGAGCTGGACAATTACAGCTTCATCTTTGTCCTGTAAGAACACTTAGATGTCAGAAAGCTAAGAGAAACAGGTTGTTGTCGTAATTCATTAAGTTATTATAGCCAACATTTTGCTAAATTGGAAATTGCCAATAATTTCAAGTTGTCTACATAAGAGCAATCTAATAGTAATTTTGTGATACAGTTTCTCAGAGAAACTGAGAAAATTCTCAGGCAAAAAACAAAAACGTTATCAGTCTTGACTTATCAAACTTTTCTCCTATAAGCTCTGCTCAAAAGAAGTCATTCTGTAGTCCAAGTTAGGGCTAATGTGGTCCGTCAAACAGGAACCATTTTCTTATATCAAAATAGAAGCCGTCCTCTTCTAAAGAAAGAGTCTGGTATTTTGCTGTAGAGTTTCCACTCACCTTCCTTTAGACACATTATTTTCATATTATTACATATAAAATAATATGTATACTATATGAAAAATACTATGTATACTATAGTTTTATTTGGCTTACCCTACTCACCCTACAAATAAGCCCAACACTTAGTAGGAAAACAAAAAGTTATTCTAACCCTGCTAATATGGTTTGGATCTGTGTCCCACCTGAATCTCATGTCAAATTGTAATCCCCAGTGTTGGAGGTCGTTGGATCATGGGGGCAGATTTCCCCATTTTTGCCATTCTGGTGATAGGGAGTTCTGGTGAAATCAGTTATTTAAAAGTGTGTGGCGCCTCCCCCACCCTCCCTCCTCCCGCCATATAGGACGTGCCTACTTCCCTTGGTTTTCTGCCATGATTCTGAACTTCCTGAGGCCTCCCCAGAAGTCCAGCAGAAGCCCTCGGGGTTCCTGTACAGCCTGCAGAGCCATGAGCGAATTAAAACTCTTTTCTTTATAGC